AGAGAGAGAGAGAGAGAGAGATTGGACAAACCAAAATCTAAAACTACAGGGTAGTGTACGTAATGCTAAACTCTCACCTGTAGCGCGAAGTCTATAACGTACGTTACACCACCCATTCCTTTCCGATGGAAAAGGATCCATGACCTCCTCTCACCGCTTTTGTAGCCTTTGGGTACCGTATCGAAGGTGACCAGACAGCGTTTGGAGCAGTTATGGTACGTGTAGCCATAACTTTCCTAGAGGAAAGACAAATATTGTTGCAATTTGCTATCAAAAACAAACGTTGACTGCTAGCTGGGCCACGAAGAAATAGTCGATTCCTCCTTGTACACCCACAGCAGCTAGCATCATAGTTTTATAGGGGCAAAAGATCTCGTCGTCCCTGTTGTTGTCGGTCGTTTGCTGTTTAAGGTTTCGTACCTATGATCCTTCGTAACTTTTGATATATGGGCAGAGATGACCACATGCAGAGTTCACTTATCTCCATGCAGATTCGGTGGGGCAATGGAACTTTATGTTGGCCGCCTGTACCCACTGACCTCCTGTATCCAACGTACGTTCGAACGTTTGATACGGGCGGCCAATGGATACAGGCAGCCAACATTAAGTTCCCTTGCCCCTCCGAATCTGCTTGGAGATAAGATCAGATAAGTGAACTCTGCATGTGGTCATCTCTGCCCATATATCAAAAGTTACGAAGGACTAGTGACCCACGGTGCTTCGGTCATTGAACTCTGCATGACCGGTCGCGTGTATCAATGATTACCCTGCAACGAAAATAGGTCACAGCAAAAGTTAGCCCAGATGTCAGACAGTTTCTATGACACACAGGCCAGCTTCTCGGCTCCATGGCCAACATTCCACCATGCAAGAAAATTTTACCACAAATTTTACCGGCCACAGCCCAAGCTTCTCGTTTACGTTCGACAGTCGCCAGGACCTTAGACTGTAAACAACATGAGGGCACTTATGACCAGCTAAATTCTCGGCCCTCCATCAGTGACGTGGTAAACTACAGGTACAAGGTGAACTGTGTCCACAAAGAGGACGAAAGTAGTTCCACCGGAGAATTCCATTCTATAGTGAATCAATTTGAGTTAAGAATGTACACTGTACCAATGATTATCAATGTTCTGTTCATCATAGAAATAATATTAGACAGGCGTAGAAGCCAGTGTCAGGGGGTTTATCGATATGCTAAGCTTTAAACGTTTAAACGTATCAAGCTTAGCATATCGATAAACCCCTAATCTAAGGCATGTAGAGGTACCTTTAGAATATTGTGTAGAGAAGCCGTAGCATCCCCAATGAGTCGGTTTATCAGTGGATATTCCTTCGCGTCAATAGCCCGGCTGGTCCACGGGATGGGGCTCCTCCTAGCGGGGTTTGAGTACGGTGCGTGGCGGGCAGGGTTAGGCAGTGGCCCGACCACGTACTCCTCCACGACCGGCGGCGTCTTCCCGCCAGCGTGCACGGTCACCAGCGCCTGTCTCTCCGGTTTGTCGCCGTCGCCGTCCAGGAATGCCAAGGCCGCCGACTTGGCTGGGACGTACAGTTCTGTAGAAAACGTACAGAACAATTCTTTCTTGATTCGTCTCTTTATAATAAAGGCTAATCATCATGCATTTATAAATGTAAAGCAGTGGATATTTACAGGCAATTTTTCCGGGTTGCAGTTACAAATCGGATGGCACCCAGGCTAAAACTTAGCTATGCAAGGTAAATTGTGCTACCGTCCATCGACAAATTGTGTACACGCAGGCTATACATATATGTATACAAGATCAGGAGTTGATAAATCTAGTTAATGAATGATAGAATTCAAGTCCACAAGGTCAAGGACAACCCCACGTACCGATGGCGTTGATGTAGTTATCGCTGAAGCCAGCGTTGTCCCACGGCGTTAGAGCCAGATTCTCCTGACTCTCCATGTACTCACGAACGCTGGTGTGTTCTGCCAAGGACAGGTCGTCGTAGATTCCCGGGTTGTCTTCGTCCATGGGCTCGACTGGGTACCCGGCTGGGCACGGTGCCAATCCATCTAGGCTGTGTTCGTCGGAGTTCATGCTAGCCACAAACGCCCCCAGAGCAACAGCCAACGCGATGCAGGCGAAGAACAGCACCAGGGAGATCGCCTGCCAGAACGTGACGGTTTTCCAGGCGGGCTTTTCTGCGTTCTTGTCCGGGACGGCGCTGTACGTGTACGTCTTTGCGTCAGACATCTCCATGCTTCCTCATATGTTTACAGCGAAGCGCGCAGCCGCTGCAATTACATAAGTCGGTCGGGCAAATATGTGTCCTCACCGAAGTAGCGGTATGTTAAGCTGTGTACTACGTCGACGTGTCCTGCACAATCTAGGTTAATGATTTTTCCATGCAAGCCATCACGTGACAGAGTTCAGCAGCTGCAACTCAGCTGCATCTCAGCATGTAACGTTACAAGCTATGTCTATACAAGAGCCATTATACAACTTGCGTTTACAAGGCTTAACCATGTAGCACATACCTTTGTTTTTTTTGCCGTAGATTCACACGCTAAATAAAGAGCAGACTAGCTATAAATCTACCCCTCCTTGCTACTAGTATCTAAAAATGGAATCGTCCTCGGCTTTGATTGGCTCAGCCCGAGTGAGACGCTATGTCACGAAGGCCTTAGATCAGTATCTTGTTTACTAACGTGAGGGTCTGCATGCCCTTTTTCGTTAACCGTTATGGGCTATTTTAATTTACCGTTAATCGTTGCCGGCCAGCTCTAATTCAACGTTAAGCGTTATCAGTATATTCCTCGTGAAGCGTTATGGGTCGTTTTAATTCAACGTAAAACGTTATTTGTCATCCTAAATTCAGCGTTAAGCGTTAATGAATAATTCTTCGTTACGCCTAATTTTGCCTTTCAAAGTGCAGGAAAATGCGTCATTGAAGGTTTAAAAATACAAAATTTCCCGGGGGAGAATGCTCCCGGACCCCGCTACATTGCTCGCGCCTTTGGTGCTCGCCTCGCGCTTCTGCGCTCGGTCCCTTCGGCTCTAGCCAGAACCAGTTTTCCCTTCAATTTCCGGAAGTTTGCGGAGAGTTACAGAATTTTTTTAACGAATCCGTCAACCTTGACAGGCAAATTAACAAAAATCTTGAGTAAAATATGAAAATATCAGAGGGACCGACAAACACTCTCAACACCATGATTTGCCTGTCAAAATGCGGGAAATTGCGTTTTTGAAGGCTTAAAAAATCCTAAATTTCCCGGGGGAGCATTCCCCGGACCCCCTAGATTACGAGCGCCTTTGGCGCTCCCCTCTCAAAATCCATCGGTAAAACTGGGCAGACTGAAAAAAATGCAAGCTGGCCGACGTCGACTCGGACACCCCGGTATTTGTGGACGCACTCGGGGATCGACCAGGGCAGGCGGGAAACACAGGGAACACATACCTTTAATGCATGCTTCATTACATGTAAGGTATACGTAATTTGTCAGTGATGACCGTTTCTCACAAAGCGAGGTACCAAATCCAGTGCAGCTCGAAAAAAAAAAGCGTCAATTTACCGTTAAGCGTTGCCGACCGTCCTGAATTTACCGTTAAGCGTTATCGGCCCTGCTGAATTTACCGTTAACCGTTGCCAGGACCCCCCCATGCAGACCCTCTAACGTTATTTGTAAGGTCACTCAAGTATTGTTTTGACTGTGTGCATGAGGACTTTGCACCTACATGGGTATGCACAGCGTTCTGTAACCAAAAAGATGGCCAGTGAGGGGGTCAATAAACCCATTAAAGTGTCCAATGCAATTTCAGGGCAGCAAAACTGGATTTTCAAAGTCAATTTTCTGGTAATTCCTTTACTGTAGTAAGTTTTGTAAATACTAAAGGTAAGACTAAGAAGTGTTTTCTAGACGTGATTTAAGGTAAAGGTTCTCTACCCTAGTAAAACATTGAACTAGCGGCGATGTTTTTGCCTTGTGCAGCAGCGACTTTAGCGGCCAGTAACGGTACTGCTGGTAACGCTGTGTACCGGAAAATCCTTATAGATGTATACGCATAGGCGGTGTAACACAGTTAAAAACATAGTGTTACACCACCTATGGTCAGACTGCTCACACGAGGTCGGGGGAGGGGTGCTTCTGACTCACAGGGGATCATATAATAGACCTTCGCCTTAAAGTGGGGTGAAAAGACGCCGGTCTGTTTATCAGGGCAGACCTGGTTCGACTAGTTTTCAGTGGCGCGCGGGGCGGCATCACAAACGTACCAACATGGAAACGTCCGATTCCAGGTCGCACGAGTACAGCGCTGTTTCTTTGGTGAGTTCAGAGACGCCTTCGTGGAAAACCACCTCGTTCTGGCAGGCAATATGCGTGGTACTGACCCTCGCTTGTGTGGCGTTGACAATTGCTTTGGGAGCCGTTGTAACAAGTGTGAGCTCTACTGGAACGCAAAGTGAGTCGTCTTTTGGATCAACCTTGGCGCCGTGCCCTTCTGGAAATACAGTGGAGCCAGTGAACGAAGACAACCCGGGACTCTTCGACGACCTGTCCTTGGCAGAACACACCAGCGTTCGTGAGTACATGGAGAGTCAGGAGAATCTGGCTCTAACGCCGTGGGACAACGCTGGCTTCAGCGATAACTACATCAACGCCATCGGTACGTCTCGTGCCCTATCCCTAATCTGAGAATAGAGTAGAAGTATATGGGCACACGCAGAATATTTCCCTTTACCAATTCAAAATGCTGTTTTCTAGAAGTGGTGGTAAACACTAGTAACACTCGTGCAGAGCTATCCCGGGGCAATACGTTAGCCTTGGGACTTTCTCATTGTTCAATTCCTTTCCAAGCAATCAATCATAACGTTTCAGTGACAACAGGAATAGCTTCAGGGTGTTGACCTCGTCTACAATCTTAGTCTTTCATCACACCTTTTGTCTGAAAATGAGGACGTGATCGGATTTTCTGGCTCTTCTTAGTCATATTTTGGTCCCTTGCATAAGTCTGAGCATGGAGGTCTACCTCCATGGTCTGAGTAAAAATTAAAAAAAAAACAGCGCACGAGCCAGGTACCACTATACATAGTCTCTAAAACAACAACTCTGTATACTGTATAGGAGAATAGAGTACATCACGTGTGTAAGAGATACAAATACCTAAAATGTTCAGTTCTTAATTACAGTAAGCCTAAAAATCTATTTTGTGACACGTTCTTATAGAGTTGCACGTCCCAGCCAAGTCGGCGGCCTTGGCGTTCCTGGACGGCGGCGGCGACAAACCGGAGAGACAGGCGCTGGTGACCGTGCACGCTGGCGGGAAGACACCGCCGGTCGTGGAGGAGTACGTGGTCGGGCCACTGCCTAACCCTGCCCGCCACACACCTTACTCAAACCCCGCTAGGAGGAGCCCCATCCCGTGGACTAGCCGGGCTCCTGACGCGCAAGAGTACGCTTTGATTTATCCTATCATTGAAAATGCAACAGCTACCCTGCACGACATCCTGCAGGTGCGTATAGTTTTTGCCTGAATACTAGTAGTCTATTCGCCCTGTGGCCATAGTCCTTGTTCTTGGGACCAGGTCATGAAGAGGACAGTTCTACTCAAGCATGCCTTTCAGCAGTTGTTCCCCTTCTTTCCTTAGCTTCAGCGTTGGCAGAAAGGGTACACTGCGTCTTCCCCCATGATGACATGATGATGATATGAATCTAACACATACTTCTAATTAATCTATCGCCTATCATATGATGCCCCAGCAGGTATTGGGTTGGGTATCTTGCCATAATGACAAGAGAAGTATGAAAGTATGAAATGGTAAGTATGAAAGTGTGAAATGTTAAGTATGAAATTGGAAATATTACTGTATTAAAAAGTCTTTCTTGTTACCAAACAAGACCTTATTTTGAAACAAAACACCACATTTGTCTGTAGGAAAGTTACGGCTACACCTACCATAACTGTTCGGGACGCTGTCTGGTTGCCATAGATACCGTACCCAAAGGTTACAGCAGTGGACAGAGGAGGTCATGGGTCATGTTTCACCGCGCAGGAGTCGGCGGCGTTACGTATTTTATAGACTTCATGATGCAGGTAAGAGTATACACTATTGTGCATCTTGAGATTATTAGATTGGAACAGGCTTTCTAAAATTAAAATCGTGACAAAATGTTCGACTTTCATTTGCGAAAGCTTAATGCAATGCATTGATGGCCACACAGTCGCAATGCAACACGAAACACGCTTCTCTCACTCCGCAATGGCAATTGGTGAAATTACTAGAAAATCTTGTCGCAAAGCAATGCTTAAAGTCAGTAGTTAGGAAAATTAGCTTAAATGTTCACAGCTAGTCGTATGAATCAAATTTCTTATTTCTTTGTCTGATTCCAGATCACTCACGAGAGTCCTGATCCCAATGACTGGCACGTCTCCAGAGTCTTCTATAACGGACAGTACTTTGACTCAGTCCAACAGCTCATCACCGGGTACGCCGACGGTTCGGTTGAAAGAGACACGCCTGACGCCGACGTACAAGACGACGACATTCTGTTTTCTACCTTCGTGAGGAGGGGCAAGCCACAGCCAGCTTCTCCTAGTCGGGGTCCTACGCTGACTGAACCGGGCGGCAGGCGGTACGCGGTGCGGGGCCGACACGTCGAGTATATGGGCTGGAGTTTCGACTGGCGTTTGACCACGTACCAATCCATGCAGCTGTATGACGTCAGGATGAACGGACAGCGCATTGCGTACGAACTGAGCGGACAAGAGGCGACGTCATTTTACTCCGGATACAACCCCATTATGCTCAACAACCTCTTCCTCGACTCTTATTGGGATATCGGAAGAAGCTTTGAACTTGTCCGTGGCATAGATTGTCCGGAAACCGCAACTTTTTCAACACACTTCAGCAGAGAAGCACCAAGGAACCGAGCCTGATGCGGAACGCCGTCTGCGTCTTCGAACTGAATGCTGGGATACCGCTCCGTCGCCATTTTGATTCCAATTTTGCAGGTGGTTTCAACTTTTACGGTGGTATGGCTGACCACGTGTTGGTGTTACGTCACGTCAACACTGTCTACAACTATGACTACGTGTACGATTACATATTCCACCAGAACGGTGTCATCGAAGTCCGCGTCGGCTTGACTGGCTTCATACTGACATCCCAAGACAGGACCGACTACGGGTACCCCCTCTATGCCGGTGTGATCGGAAATGTTCATCAGCACTCTTTCAACTACAAGGTGGACCTCGACATTCTAGGAACACAGAATAGGTAAGAGGAAAATCCCTTTATATACATGTAGTAGACCTCCCCGTGAATACAATAGCATCTTTGTATCCTGCAGACCGTTACCGCCGTCCATGAACATGTTGCTTTTCTTGTGAAACAGGTTTGAAACAGTGGACATTGTTTTGGAGAACATCACCAACCCTGAGCGGCCGGAGCTGCGCCACATCCAGACCCGCATCCAGCGGAACCTCAAGACTACCGAGAAGGAAGCCGCCGTGCAGTACGACTTCAACCGGCCCAAGTACTACAACTTCTACAACGAAGAACAGAAAAACCGGTATGTGGCAGTACATGCACTATCCAACTCATCAAATAAATCTTGTGTACTGGCATCTAGCGTTGGAAAAATGTGGTATTGTTTCACAACTTGCTATATATATATGTTCATTCATTCAAATTTATATTGGTGCGAGGTGTAACCCCTTTTAGGTTCTGCCCATAAAGACGACATTGGCCCGACATCACCATGTTGATTTTGTGCCTAGGTTCGGTTCGAATCGTGGTTACCGTGTGCAGCTGAACGGCATCGCTAAGACCCTGCTGCCGCGGCAGGACTGGGCGCCGATGCGGGGAGTGGCCTGGCAGGACTACCAGCTGGTCGTGACACAGAGGAAAGAATCGGAGCCCACCAGCTCCTCCATCTACAACCAGAACGACCTGTACGAACCGCTAGTCGACTTCCAGTCCTTCCTCGAAGACGATGAGAACATCGTTGACGAGGACCTGGTTGCCTGGGTGACGCTCTCCACGCACCACATTCCTCACTCCGAGGACTTCCCGACCACGGCTACTGCGGGGACCCAGATGCAGTTCTTCCTGCGCCCCTTCAACTACTACGACGAGGATCCTTCGGTGGGATCGTCTAACGCCGTTCTGATCACCCCGGGAGAGAAGTCTGGGCCCGCCCGGGTGGAACGGTTCGGTACCCCGACAGGCCCCGCCTGTGTGCCCGAGCAGAGTCCGTTTCACTACAACGGGACGTGGCGAGGGCCAAAGTGAGATGGCAATGCTTCCACAAACGGATTGAATGATGATGGTACTCGTTATCGCAATGTATACGTAGTGCACATTTGTAAGATATAACTGATTTTTATATAGTTGAGGACATGTTATAGGACAGTATTAGTGTGTTGGTACCAGTTGCAAAGATGTGTATTTGTCTCTTGAGTGTGAAGCTCACAATAGCGATCCTAGCGGCTTAACACCTGTCTGCAGAGAAGATGTTAGATTAGTAAGAGAAGTATTCGTTCACACACCAGCAAACTAAACCATCACTCATACAATGATTTATAAAGAGCATATAGGCATTTCCTTAACCCTCTCCCTGCTGCCCGACCATGTACCAACACAAAACTAGTAGCCAAACGACTCTCATTTTGTACAAGGTTAAATTCTGAAGTCAGTCTCAGAAGCCAAGAAGTATACTAAAACTAACCGGTAGGTAAATACTAAATTGTGTGCATAGGGAAGGTTATAACCCCTGGTGTTCGTATTTGTCCGTGTGTGCACATGTGCACGTGCTGTAACTAAGTTTAGACAATGGTAAATATTTAAGCAAGAACATGCTCGTTATAGAAATGCAAAGTCATGCAGAATTCTATGCGGCTTTTACTAGATCTAGATATCTCTTAAGGTGAAGTACGCAATGCA